GGCCGCCTGGCCTTGGGAAGCCACGGGACCCCCCTCCGCTTCTCCTGGGGTCATTTTGCTGAACAAAAGGGGTTTTTTTTTATTAAATTAGAAGTCCTGACCTCTCCCTGCTCTCTCCCTTTGCCCTGCGGGGGATGCTCGTGGTGGCGGCGTCTCTCTCCCTACCTAAAAACGGGTTGAAAAAAAGGCTAAAAGCATCAATGGGGGATGATGGGCAACCACGTTGGGGGGAGCAAGGGGCAAAAGAGGGGGGCTACAGGTGGGATGAGTGTCCCATGCAGCCAAACAGCATGGGGAGGGGAGCTCCAGGATGGGGATGATAGTGATGATGAAGCCAGCCCCGGGGTGGGGATGATGATGGTGGTGATGACAGCGTTGATGGTCATGACAGTGGTGATGGTGGTGATGATGATGATGGGTTATTTATCTCCCACCCCCAGACCTACAACACCAACGCGCAGGTGCCCGACAGCGCGGGCACAGCCACCGCCTACCTCTGCGGCGTCAAAGCCAACGAGGGGACGGTGGGCGTCAGCGCTGGCGTCACCCGCGACCGCTGCAACACCACCAAGGGCCAGGAGGGGACCTCCATCCTCCGCTGGGCCAAAGACGCAGGTGAAGGGTCGGTGGGTGCCGGGGGGGGGATGTTGTAAAGCGGTAGGGTTTGGGGGTGTTCCCACCATTGTCCCCTGAACTCGCGGTGCAGGCAAGGCGGTGGGCATCGTCACCACCACACGGGTCACCCACGCGACACCCAGCGCTGCCTACGCCCACTCCGCCAACCGCGACTGGTACTCGGATGGAGAGATGCCCCTGGACGCGCTGGAGGGCGGCTGCAAGGACATTGCCCGGCAGCTGGTGGAGAACATCCCTGACATCGAGGTAGGGATGGGGATGAGACCACCGGGGATGTGGGCTGGAGCCACCCAGGGATGGGGACAGGACCACCCAGGGGTGTGGGCTGGAGCCACCCAGGGCTGTGGATAGACATGGGACCAGGATCATCAATGGGTGAAGTGCTGCGACCCCCAGTACATGTTGGGCTGGAACCACTAGTGGGTGAAGAGCCAGAACCCCCAGGAGATGTTGGTCAGGGACCACCAAAGGGTGCAGGGCCAGGACTGTGAGTGGGTACAAGGCTAGGACCACCCCAGCAGATGTGACTCTGAGACCACCAATGGGTGCAGGACCAGGGCTGTGGGTAGATACGGGGCCAGGATCACCAACGGGAGCAGAGTTGGGACCCCCAGAAGATGTTGGACCAGGACCACCCAGGGGTGCAGGACTAGAACCCCCAGCAGATATAGGATGAGGACCACAACCCCCAGCAGATATGGGACCAGGACCACCCATGGGTGGGTTACCAGGACAATTGGGTGGATATGGGACCTGGACCACTGATGGCCGCACCACCATCAGACATAGGGCTGGGACCACAAGCACCAGTAAGACCAGTCCCTCAAAAGCCCTCCCCACCCACCTCCTTTCTCATACTTCCCATACCCCAAACCCTCCATTTCCCCCCCGATTCTGCCCCTTGCTGCGGATTTACGCAGAAATTCAGCCCTGTAAATAAATACTCTTCTGTCCTTCAAAATAGCCCCAAAGCAAAACACTTCAGCCTGTTATTTAGCTCTTTAATAGCCTCTTCTTCTGTTTTTTTTCCCTTTAATATAATTTTAACTATGTCCCAGGCTTGAAATAATTATATAGTGGGGAAAAGACATTTTTTCCCCCTTTTTTTTTGGCTTAATAATTTTGGCAGCGGTGTTTTGCAGCTTTATAATTCACCTTCTGCATGGAGAAAGAGCAAAGCGGGGGGAATAAAAAAAAATAAATCTCTGCTCAGTTATAAATAACAGAGGGCAAATAAATCGGGCTCCAAAGCAAACAGCGAAAGCCACGGGATGGGGCTCCGTCCTGGCGGGTTCACGCGGGGACCCCGATGTGGAGCATCCCTCCCACAGAGGGGGAGAAAAAAAAACTAAAAAGCCAAATTTGCTGCTGGAAATGGTTATTTTTGTCTTGGGGTTTAATTAATAGGAAGAGATTGAGGGTTATTTTGAGCGAGGTGAAATTCCTTGGGTGGTTTCACTCGCTTTTTTTTTTTTCCGTGCTGCGCCAGGGTTTTCCTGGACATCCCGCTTCGCCTCAGCGGGGTTTTTCCCTGTATTAAACCCAAACTGGGGGGAAAAAAATGGAAAATAATTAAAATTAATTTTAATGCATTTTTCCCCCCCTCCCTTCGCAGGTGATCTTGGGCGGCGGGCGGAAATACATGTTCCCCAAAAACGCCAGCGACGTGGAGTATCCCCACGAGGACAAGCATCGGGGTACCCGCCTGGACCACAGGGACCTCGTCAAGGAGTGGCACGAGGTCAAGCCCTCTGGCAAGGTAACAGGGACATTTTTTGGGGGTACACACCCATCCCCCCACTGTAAGCCATTCCCAGGGAGGGAGAATATTTTGGGAAGGGGGGTCTAAAGCACCCCTGGGGCTGACAGAAGCAATGGGGAGGTGACAACCTGCCTGTCCCCAGGTGGCCAAGTACGTGTGGCACCGGCGGGACCTGCTGGCGCTCAACCTCAGCCGCGTCGACTTCCTCCTGGGTGAGTCCCAGCACCCAAGGGTGCCCCGACCTCGACTGGGTGCTTGTGCAGGGGGTGGGGGGAGCGACCCCTGGCCTGTCCCAGGGTGCTGGGGCAGCTGGAGTGGCTGGTTACCCCCCCCGAAGGAGGCTGCTACCCCCAAGGGATGTTGGTCCCTGCCAAAGATGCTGTAACCCCCCCCACGAGGGATGCTGCTGTCCCCCTGGGGATGTTGGTGCCCCCCAAAAGATGCTGGTACCTCCAAGGGGTGCTGGTACCATCCCAAAAGGTGCTGGTACTCCCTTGGGGATGTTGGTTCCACCCCTGGGGGTGCTCATACCCCCTCTAAAGATGCTGCTGCTCCCCCGGGGATGCTGGTACCCCCTCAAGGATGCTGGTACCCACCCCCAGGCGATGCAATTGCTGGGTTTTGGCCCACGGTGCAATTCCCCAGCCGAGTCAGGCTGCAGGGTTCGGCCGAGCTGGAGGAAGGAAGGGCTGGGAGCATCCCCCTGGCGCCTACCTAATCACCCTGGATCCGGTGGCGGGTGTAATGCTTGAGCCAGCAGAAGATGCAGGCGGCGGTGCTGGATTTGGCCCTTTGTTTGTTTTTTTTTTTCCTGTTTGCTTGTTTTTTTGTTCTTTGGGTTTTTTTTTTTGGCTGGGGAAAGGGTGGCCCCAGCAGTGTCACTGTCCCCAGGCCTCTTCGAGCCGGGTGACATGGTGTACGAGCTGGACAGGAACAACGAGACGGATCCGTCCCTCACTGAGATGGTGGCTGTGGCCATCAGGATGCTCCCTTTGTTTGTTTTTTTTTTTCCTGTTTGCTTGTTTTTTTGTTCTTTGGGTTTTTTTTTTTGGCTGGGGAAAGGATGTCCCCAGCAGTGTCACTGTCCCCAGGCCTCTTCGAGCCGGGTGACATGGTGTACGAGCTGGACAGGAACAACGAGACGGATCCGTCCCTCACTGAGATGGTGGCTGTGGCCATCAGGATGCTCCAGAAAAATCCCCGGGGGTTTTTCCTCCTGGTT